ATGCTATATTTGGAGCTTATGGTTTTTTTGTTGTTGTTGTTTTCCCCCTTGTGTCACACAAGTATTTTATTCACATTAATCTAATATATGTGCAAATTAATGAGTATTTTATGGTAACCTGTTCAGACAAGTTGATTACATTAAGATGTAAAATTAAGCATTGTTATGAATCCTCCATCAGCACATTGTAGTGTTAGCTCTTTAACCATTTGCTGCTGTTTCTCATCTCTAAATTTTTGAAAGTACTTGTCAATATTTAGTCAAGAATAATGTATCTCTTTTTAAGCCCTTTCTCTTTGTTGTGCTTGATACTGTTACCTGTGACAGAGAACCGCATGAGCTGAAGTCCAAGGTGGCATCACAGGCGCTTCTGTTTTGTGGTACAAATTTCATCTTCAGCGAACTGTCCTTTCTGTCCTTTCAACTATTTGTTCCCATCTGAATGCACACTTGGATGTCACTTGTGAAGATTGTGCTTAAAAAGCTTTTCACTAACATTTTTTCCCCTCCTTATTCTCACTGTGTTAGTTGCAATTCCTGGCTCTGCCAAAACAGCATTACATTTCTAATCATTAATAAGAAAATATCATATCTTTGTCCAAAAATCCATTCTCAGTGTCTTAAAATGACTTACTTTCACTAAGCTTTCTGGAGCATAAGTATTCCTAATATCCCCAAGCTCGCTCCTTCTTCCCTGGACTGTAAAGTTGCCTTGTATAAGTCATAGCATCCTCTTTCCTCGGACGCTGTATCAGCCATACATCAGCCAAAGCTTGGAGGGGCTGTTACCTCTGTTCAAAACTATCATACATGTGCTGAAATCCTTCCGTGTTACCAAAAGTGTGGTAAGATTGCAAGCACACATCTGTATAGCCCTAAAATGGACCTTACCATGAAGAAAATGGAAGATTTCAGCCCAAGTCATCAAGTATTCCTGTCTTCCCTCTGAAATACAGTTATACCCCATGAATATGAAATATTTCATGCATTTTCCATTGAAGTACAAATCATAGAAGTTTTCAAAGTTTAAAAAGTATTCTGGGGCTAAATATGCCTGTCTTTTTAGCTAGTTCAGGGATCTGAATGTAAACCAGATATTCAGGGACCTTGTCTGGTTTTGCAATCATTTTTGTAGTGCTGTAGCTCCATGGTAAATTAAACTCATCCACATGTCAAATTCTTTTCATCTGTTACAGATACCATGAGACTCTTAAATAAAGACCCACTTATGGCTCGGTCTAGCACGGGTGGCAAATGTCCAGTGAGTTTCTTGTCCCTCCTCCCCGTGGTCTCCTCGCACAAAGGAAGCGATGTTCCTGAACTGATCGAGTTCAGACTCGGCCTCCGCTGTGAATCTCTCAACGCCATCGTGACCACAGTTCTTATAGATGCTTCCTCTGCTTGTTGTTTCATGCAACAAAGCATTTCTGGCAGAAATCCTGTGACCAAGCTGACTTGCTCCACTGCAGTTATTCTTTCTATTCTTCTGTTAGCTGAGAGGAAACTCTCCATTCAGTCAAACGCCCGGCAGCTGTAACTGAGATCTACACCCACAATCTTCATCTCCTCTTGGCCACCTTTGACCTGTTCCTTAAACCTTCTTTTCCTACCACAGTTTCTTACTCTGAAAAGGTTTTTGATAGTTTCTTCCTAGTGAAAACTGATGGATATGAGAGGATCTTCATCAGTCCTCTTTCCACTTACTGCTTCCTTCCTGAAAGAGCTCCCTGGCCTCCAGCAAATTATGGAATTCTCCATCCACTGTCTTCCCCTGCTTTTCCAATTTATCTGGGAGACCCATTCTATTCTTTTTCCTTTTTCTCTTAAGTCACCCTCTTCCTTTCTCCCCCTCGCATTTCAGTCATGCTTTGATTTCCCATGTCTTACCCCATGTAACCTTGTAATGATACTTCACAGTTGCTCCTGTCTAATTTCTATCCTTTGCACTCAATGGAAAATGCTCAAAGCAGCCTCTGATACCTTTCTGCAGTCCAATCAGAGGATCAGCAATCTGCCTTGACCACTTCAACCTAACAGGTTTTTCAGGCTATACTCTACCTTGATATGCTTATTGTCATCCTCTCTTCTTTGGGCTTCCATGACTCCATCCTTTGCATTGTGCACCCTCTGGTGAATGTGCCTTATGCCTTCTCCAGCTGTGAGAATTTATAGCGAAATCAGGTTTTGACTCTTGTCTTTTCCTCCTTCCTAATTTATCTAGGAGGATAAATTGGCAAGCACAGATTCAACTACCATGTTAATGAGGTTGCTTAAAAAGTGTGGTGTATCTGTCTGCTTCAAGCCTGCCTTGTTCTACCCAAACTGAAGTCTCAGTCTTTGCCTGTGTAAATACTGAAGTGGTATCTTCAGTCAAATGGTTAGAACGTGGGTCCTCACCCCTCCTCTAGAAGTCCTCTCCATTACTCTTTCTCACAGTGGCTATAAACATCTTTACCATCTCATTTATCACCTAGACTAAAAACTTGAGCATCGCAGTCAACTGAGATTTCTCTTTACCACCTCAAATCCAGCTGACGTCTGAAGCCTGATATGTAGGCTTTCCAGGCCATCCCCCTTGCCTCTTGGATTTCTCCTACTGTAAATTTTGTTTCTCAAATCTTGACAAAGATAATCTTACCCAGGTGAAATAGTGCTTTCAGAAAGCCCCTTTTCCTAGCTTCATTTCTTCAGCCATATCCTGTTTTGACCATATCACTTATATATGAGATGCAACTTTCCCTTCACTCTCTCAGGCAGCTTATTTTCCCCTTCTCCTCTCTGTGTCACTGCTTACTCAGTATGAAAACAGCTCCAGGCTCAGTTGGAGTCATGGAGCTCATTTCCACCTCAGCTTTGCCTCTCCAGCCAGCACCTTCCTGCTTTCTCCCTTCAAAACTCTTCAGGCACTTCTGCAAAACCAGTTCTTGAAATCCCTCTTCAAAATCCTTTGCCAGGATGCCTACAAAAAACCACTGCCTGTCATAATGACTGATGGTGCCTTCTTTTTCTCTCTTACCCCGTGCTGAGCTGGTGCCTTGTGTCCTAAATCTGTTGTATAAGTTCTTAAAGGTTTCTTTCCACTGTGCATTTGGACAGGGGCTCTTGCAGTGAGGTCCTGGACCACGACTAGGCCTTGGAGGTGCTGTGGTAAAATAAACAGCACTGAAGGGAACAGGAAAGGCCAGGGGCAGCTGAAGTCATGGCTATATCCCTCAGAATGGGCCTGGCACACTGTTCTAACAGTTAATATTGTTGGCGAGAACACAGATATGGAAACTATGTCCATGGCCAGATGTGCACACGGAGAGCTGCCAAGACAGAGCAGTGCATGCTGTAAGATACGCTGTTTTCCCCAATAATGTTGCAGCCGTTCTAGTCCTTACCTTGGAAAATGTGAAGCACAGGAGAAACTTGGAATCTGCTAATGGGTCTGGGGTGATTTAGTGTTGCAAACTGATGCTTAAGCAGCAGAGTCATTCCCTGCAGCACCCTTTGTTGTAATCTCCCTCCGAAGATATTAAAAATACAGAAACCTTGGCCAGGTTGTAGTTGATCTAATTTATAAAGCGTTTTCTGGATATTAAAAGCTAGAGCAATGTGTACTAGTAGTTTTAAAATTGTGTTAAATACACTGTAAACTCCCAGGAAGATCCTTTCATTGAAGATTATTGTATGAAGATTTGAAGATTAAAGTGTCTAGATTAAAGATTAATGTGAAGTACACTGGGAAATGGTTTGATGCATAAGGAGCTATATTATATATTAATCGTGCACTTTTCAAAACTGCCTGAGGGAATTAGACACCCAGTTCTCTTGCATGCCTTTGAAAACCTCTCAGTAAGGGATTTGTTGCTATAAAGTGAAAATGGCAATATTTTCATTAAGAGCTTGAGGAAAAGTGGAAGGGCTGTAGAGGCGTTCAGTACTCATCTGGAGCTCCACTTCTGCTCCTTGCAGTTTTTTCCCAGTTTTGAATTGCTCTGTAGATTTTGGAGCTTTTTAGATCGTCTGTTATTGCAGAGAGGCAACTTGCGTTTGAGTAGTGCAAAGTTAATAAAACTGGTCTGACCCTAGCGCACTGCTCCACCTGCCTCTATTTTTTTGTCATCAAATCCTCTTTTTTTTTTTTTTTTTTTTTTTTTCTTCCTTTCACTAAGATAGCTCTTCTAAACATAAGTAATGTAAATAACTTGAGAAATCAACCGTGTAAAGCTCGGTGAAATAAATTTATACATATACATATTTATATGTACAATATAATATACATTAATTAAAGATAATTAGAACTGATTGTGGCAAAAAATAATTATAATTATAGATAGCAAAGTAATCCTCTTGCAAGAATTTCTCTTGGTAATGCTTTTTTTGTGTAAAAATTTGAATAGTATGATGAAAGAAATGTTCCACATATGGTAGAAATCACAAGTTTGCTATCCCTGAAGTGCTGCAATACAAATAAGCTGTTAAATGCCAGCTCTGAATGTTATTTTTTAGATGCTAAAAGAGATAATCTCGTACTAAAACTATTAGTAGGCAAATTTATTTGAACTTCAAAACATCTTTGATCTGGAATGAAAATGAACAGTGTATGAGTGTATACTCCATTAATCTAGGGTTGGCCACTTGTGTGCATTTTTGTTTGTTTGTTTTTCCATCCTCCATCTTTCTAATGCAGTTTATTAAAGCTAATCATGCAATACAGTGTTATTTTTCCTGGTAGAATCTGTTGCATTGCCTTCATGAAAGAACAGTTTTCCTATAGAAAGTACCCTGTGGGAATCAATATTCAGGTTCACAGTCACTCGAAAAGTCAGCGTGCAGGTGTGTTGCATTCAGATCTATTCTCGTGGTCTTATCGTTAAAGCTGCAGTAAACCTGCATGTAAAAAGCAAGGCTTCCAGGGGTACTGCGAAAGTGTGATTAAAAATAATCATCTGTCTGATGAATATTTTTCTCTGACTTTTGGCAGGATCACCCATCTGAATTTGTGCCAGCCTCTACAGGAACACTGATGCCAGCAATTTAAGGATCTTCACATTTGCTCTCAGTGGTAAGATCTAAAGATGTCATAGTAAAGAACGTTAGAATATTACTGTTTTCTGTCAAGTTGTACTAAAAATGAATCCATATGAAAAATGAACTCTCTCTCCTTGACCATTACAAGGATGCTGAGGTGTAAGAACTTACTGATCCACAAGAGATGGAGCTAAGGACATTCATTCCGAGCAATTTTCATCAGAGTAATCCCATAAAGACCATTGTTGTTTTCCTCTCTACTAAGGTGACTCCTCTTGAGAGGTTTGACATTGTACATTTTGAAGAACACAACCATTTATAAAAGGACAGTAGACAGTATCTAACAAGGAGGTAGAATACGCAAAAAGCAAATTTTAATAATTTCCTTTTGTAGCAAACTCAGCAACTAAGTTGCAAAATTGCAAATAATTTCCCCCTCTAATGCTGAGCTTGTGGTAATTTATCTGACTGTCCAAACCTTGAGTCAGATTCTCAGATACTGTTGCATTTGTAAGCTTAAAATTTCTTTTGCAAAGATATATTGTCCACTGTAATAGTGAAAAGGAGGAGGGAACAGCTGAGTCCCACCATAGCTATGTTTCAAGTTGGAATATGTTTTCTAGAAAACTGTGACTGGATCATGTGAGATAATTCTTAAACTATAGGAGAAAATCATGCGCTGTGGAAATGTTCAGCTTTTGGGGTTAGGAGGGATCTAGTTCTTAGATTTTAATATTGTGTGTGACAATATTTTGGTCAAACTGATTCTCACTTTTATGCCAACTACTTGCATTAAGTATTTTTATTTATTTCAGTGGTTGCTCAACATATAAAATGCTGGCAGAAGTAGAAACCTTAATGTGGCGCATAATCACCATTTTCCAAATACTCACGACAGATATTCCCCCCCCATGTTGTTCACTCGCAGGTTATCTAATTCTTAGCAAATATACTTAATTCATCTTAATAGCCCTTGTCCCTGAAGCAGATGGCCACAGAAGGAATAGTTACTAAATAATACCCTAATTTGTGCAACACTTTTTAGAAACAAAACAAAAAAAAACCCATATATATATATATATATATATATATTATATAGATCAACTCTCACATCCCTCTTTGGGTATCATTAAGAAATGTTTATCGGATTATTCCATTTCAGTAGAACGCTGCATAATGTGTTTTCCTGGGACCAGTCCTGGGAGATGCTGCTTTTCGACACTTCTGCTACTCACTTGTTCATCCCCCATCGGATGTGTGGAGTGCTGTTTTCACACGCAGCAGTGAGCGCGTGGGCACCGTGTCAGTGCAGACAGTGCTTAGGCAATCCTGGCACCCAGGCTAGAGTTGACCCTGTGATTGAGTCCCTACGTCTTGGAGTAAGGCAGTCCAAAAAGCAGCACTGGGGAAGAAAACGGCCTAAGTGTCTGCATGGGAAACAACCCCCCTGCCCAGAGCATGGCTCTGCCTTTGCTCTTTAAGCCCATTCCAGGCTACTGACAGATGTGTTTTAAATTTGATTACAACCCAAAATCTGGGGCTCTTCTGATGTGGAAACACTGTTCGTATTCAGCATTTTCCTAGCAGTTTATTCTCATTAATCTGATAGTTGAATGAAACCTCTGCTTCAATTCAAAGGCAGGCTCAACTACAGTAGCTCTGTAGCTCCCATCATACGCTTTCCTTAAAAAAAAAAAAAAAAAAAAAACATGATAATGTGTTATCATGAATCTGAAGAGAGATTACGTGTTGTTATTACTGGCTAACTTAAGTACAGTGGGAATATGCCCCTAATAAAGGATGGTATCTCTCCCAGAGTATACTGCTCTGGTATTGCTCCTTGTGCAAGACTACATCATAATTATCATATTACTTGATTGTGTAGTCAAGGTACAAAGCAATGAATGTCAAGGCAATTTTGCAGGGAAATAATATGATCCAAATAATTTTTTTTTTCAATATTTTTTAACAACGCTGAATTCTGAATGCACGGTAACCTGGAGAGCTGAAAGTCAATAATGTTGTTTGTGACGATAGACAGAGTCTGTAAACACTGGAAGTCCCTGCTACTGAACTGCTAGACCTTTTTCCCCTGAAAACAAGACACTAATGATCTAGGAAAGGAAGGCAGAAGACCCTCATTTGTTGCTTCTTAACTAAGGCAAATGAAAATCCATTACAAGTCATCAAAGGCCTAGTCCTGTGATAAAGCTCCCATTAACTTCAGTAGGAGCAACCCAAGTATCACTTAAATTCAGGAAACAAACATTTAAGCACTAGCAAATATAACTGCATTTAGACGAAGTTCCCTAGTCTTGGGTAGTAATAGTTGACAACCATGTGTACATACAGAAACACCCGTGCACCCTGTTCCGTGTTGCTGCTTTCAGTAAATGCATAGCAGATGTTTCATAAGGGTTAAGGACTGTCAGGGTGTATGGATGACCAATTCAGTTCTTCCATTGTTATTGGATCAAAATATAATTCAATATTCTGCACATTTAAAATAAAAATACGTGTGTATGTGTGTTAAAACGGGAGTTAAAAGAGAGACTTACTTCTGATTGCGTTTCTGTATTTGACCATGGCTTCACACTTCATTTCAGCCTTTATATGGGTTTTGTGTTCAGTTTATTATATTTTCTTGAGGCAAGAAAATCTTTCAATGAGAACTTGATGAATGTCCATATTAAATTGGATCCCCTTTTTTTAATTAAGTTCATCTAAATTTAATTTTGCAATTTTACTTCAGTAAACGCATCTGACTCCAGATGTTGAATGTGCTTTTTCTATTGCTGTTCCTATATAATTGTACCTGTAAAAGATTTATGACTTAGAGAGGCATTTCTGAACACTTTAGAGTGTTTTCAGCATATGCTTCATGGATGACTAGTAACATGAGCAGTTAGCATCCTAAAATACTGTTCTGCATGCAGGATTCCTTTTAATAGGATGTTACTTTTATTAGCTTGAACTTTAAGCAAACAATCAGTTTACGAGAAACACTGTTATCAAAGGAAATCAAATGATATTGAGATATTGCCCTCTAAAAGAAACTTTGAAAATGAAAGAGAAGATTGCAGAAACTTAAAGATGTGATAAGAAAAATCATATCAAGAAATATAAGTTACTCCCTTTGATTAAAGAAAGCCCCAAGCAATCTTTGGTTTTGCGGTCTCTTCTGTTCACTAAAATTGTGCACGTGAGCTGTTTTGTGGTGCTGTGTTGCATTAGCTGAGCTTTGTGAACAAGGGAAATGCATGTTCAAGTGCTTACAGGTTCTGCTTACTGGAGATTTTAAACTACTTTTGCTTATTTGTTGAAGTCAGCAAAGATGTGGCAAATTAACTTTGCTTCCTTCTCATATTCTGTTATGACTTCTCAATTGTCGTAAATGGCTCCTACTATAAAAATTACCTGGAGTTCTCTAATTATTCTGGTTCTGCCTCTTCACTCCTTGAATCTGGAGATATTTGAAAACATGATATATGACACATATGGAACATTTAATGAAGGTCCTTGTTCTCACTAGGGAAACTTATACCATTCTTCTGGTAAAGAAGCATGTAATTGTAAAACAAAAAGCTGTCTGCCTTCTTTTTTACTCAAAAACAAACCAATCCATGAGATTTTTTTTATTGATTTATTGTGCTGTTGTAAGTATTTGTTGTGTATTGGTCTGAAGTATTTATCGGTTTGATAACAAACCAAATGAGGTTATTTGTGGAAATTGGAGGCTCACGGGATGCCAAGTGCTCCGGCCGCCTGGCAGCGCGCGGCCTCGGGCGCAGGTAGCGCTGCGCGTGCCGAGCCTCTGTAACGCCCCTAGGCACCCAGCGCTCCGTGTTCCTCTTTGTATCTCCCTGCCAAGTTTCCCTGTTGCAGTTCAGCGCTCGGTGGTGGCTTCCAGAGGTGCCGTTACCTCACGGTGTGGGGCTGTGGGTGGACGCGTCGCGGCGGGTCCTGCGCATGGGAGAGCTGTGGGAGCCCTGGCGCTCCCACACAACAGGCTGCAGAGAGGCTCCCCTACGGCCCGCGCCTGTCCTGGGCCAGAGCAGCGGTGCGCTCCCTTTGGCCCTTATTTCCTGCCCAGGTCACATCATCTTAGGGACGTGCACCGAATTGGACTAGGCTGCTTTCTCATAGTGCATTTTGCCATCTTCATTCTAGGTCTTTTCTGAACTAGACTTCTTTTCATTCTTAAGTAGCTGGGAGTGTTTTTGCTTTGTTCCCCCACCTGACTTCTCGGTGATGCTGGATTCAGTGAGCAAATACACACTTTAAAAGTTGCAGCAAAGAAACTCAAGTGGCTCCTTTAATTTCCAGCAGAAGAAAGAACCATAGCTCTGCTCCTCCGTTGGGTGAAAGCATTCAGAGTCTTAAAGACTTCATGTGGGAGTCTGGATGGCACCCAAAGAAGGAACCACTTAAAAAATTACAAAATGACACAGTTTGTGTTTTTCTTAAATTGTCAGGATTTGCTATATATTTTCTGGTATGGTAACTGTACAGGATGTTTTCAAAGATACTAGGGAAGGGTATGTTAAAGCTCCAAAGACTTAAGAATGCCTAATAACTGCCTGCCAATACAGCCAAACCCTGCTGGGTAATGGGGGAATGCCTACCATGTAAATATAAAGGGGGTTATTTAGGATACCCAGTGAGCTGTGAATTATTGCCTAGGTTGTCACACACCCCAAAAAAAAAAAAAAAAGGAAAATGAGTTGTGAACAGGAAAGAACGTGCACTGAGTCCTGAATAGCTTTCTGAGACTTTTTGAGATAGACAGGGAAATGTATATGCACTCCCTGCAAAGAGAGATATCTGTTTTGTCAGATTGCAAACATACCAGCTAGATTAAAACCCAGTGCCCAAACAGAACTGGGTTATTTTTGTGCCTGACAAATGCATAAATCGGAGAAAAATAATATTTGTCCAATAACTGAATTTAACATCTGTATTGATCCGGCTTCCACTGAGCTCAGTGGGAACCTTTCCCCTGCCTTTAATGGCTGCTGGGCTGGACTGGGGCAT